AGAGAGGGGCGAGGGCGGGGCCAGGACCAGAAGCAGTGCTCCTGGAGCCCAAGAAAGGGACTGAGTTGGCCTGGGTGAGAGGGATCAGGAAGCAGTATTGGTTCCCCAGGTGTCTGGGGCCCCAAGACTAGGAATGGCGCAGGGCCCAAACTAGGAGTATAGAACGGCGGGAGGGATGGAAGGGTGAATATGCCTTAGGGAGTCAGCGAGAGTTGCGCTATAGACTTACCCCAAGAGGCCTGAGGATGGTAGTGCAGGCTAGGAGAGTTAGCCGGTGGTGCAGGCCCAGGGAAGCAGAGAGAGGGGATGGCGGGGCCAGGACCAGAAGTGGTGCTCCTGGAGCCCAAGAGAGGGACTGAGTTGGTCTGGGGGCGAAGGATCAGGAAGCAGTATTGGTTCCCCAGGTATCTGGGGCCCCAAGACTAGGAATGGTGCAGGGCCCAAACTAGGAGTATAGAATGGCGGGAGGGATGGAAGGGTGAATATGCCTTAGGGAGTCCTGGCGCGAGAGTTGCGCTATAGACTTACCCCAAGAGGCCTGAGGATGGTAGTGCAGGCTAGGAGAGTTGTCATCTGTTTTTTTTTAAAGATTCATTTTGTTTTTAAATTATGTGTGTGTGCATGTTGAGAGAGAGTCTGTGTGGGGGTATGTGTACATATGTGCAGGTCTCCACAGAGGCCAGAGGCATGGGATCTCCCTAGAACTGGAGTTTTGGGTGGTTGTGAGCTGCCTGATGTGGCTTCTGAGAATTGAACTCAGTTCCTCTGCAAGAGTAGCAAGTACTCCTAACTACTGAGTCATCTCTCTGGCCCCTGGACTGATTTCTAATATAGAATGTAGTTGTGTTGGTTATGACCATGAATTCTGCTAACTTACTCTATGTTCTTGAGTAATGAAGAAAGAATACTTGTACTTAGAGGTTAGTCTAGTCTATAAAACTATCTCTTTCTTCTGAGTGCATAGTAGTTTGTCAGACACTAATATGTATAAGTACATTTAACATGGAAAAGATCATCAGCTGTGTTCTATTAAGCCAGACATTAAAGAAACTTGCAAGAGTGCAGAACCATGGTTCTCTTTTAAAAGTTATTTTTCATAAAATATCAACATAAAATGGATTATTGTTGTTTGTAAATGACTAAGTATTAACTTCAATTTTCAATATGGTAAACATTGACAGCTATAATATACATAAAAGTTCTTTGGAGTATTCAATAATGTTTAAGAGTGTAAAGGGGTCCTGAGTCTGAAAGTTTAAGAATTAGTGATTTATGTTCTCACACATTATTTAATGATTAGTTCAATTGGTTATTTAGCCTTATATAGACAAATAATACCTAAATCAGAATTACATTTTATCAGTTCTTTACAAAATATTTTTGAAGTGAGCCTCATATACCCCAGGCTGGGCTCAAACTTGCTATGGTATGTATCTGAGGATGACCTTGAACTCCTGACTCTCCTGTTTCCACCTCGCAAGTGCTGGGGTTACAGGTGTGTGCCACCAAGTCCAGATTAATCATTGTCTTTCTTGACCTTGATAGGGTTTTTTTGTTGTTCTGTTTTCTGTTTGTTTGAGACAAGTTCTTATGTAGCCCAGCCTGGCCTCAAAGTCACTATGTAGCTAAGGATAACTTAATTCCTGATCCTACTGTCTCTACCTCTCAAGTGCTGAGATTGCAGGCATGTGCTTCCATATCTGCCTAAAAATTTTTTGTTCACAAGTTATATATTGATGATTTTCCTCTTTTCCTTGTTCCAAGAAATAGTTAATTTAGCTACACTTACTTTCTCATAAGTCTCCAAAGTGTTCTATGGTATTTACAACACAACTTGAAATTCCCAGTCTTCAAAGATGCTTCTTGAGAAGGGCACATATACTAAGGCTTATTAGCATATAGAGAAGGCTTTCCTCTCTTCTTGCCTTTCCTCTTCATATTTCATACATGTGTGTATGTGTATCCCATGGTATGAGTCTGAAGGTCAGAGGACAACTTGCAGGAGTCAGTTCTCTCCTTCCACTATGTGGGTTCTGAGGCTCAAACTCAGGTGGCCAGGCTTGTCAGCAAGCACCTTTACCCGCTGAGCCACATCACAGGTCTCTGTTTTTCACATTTTGAGGCAGAGTCTCTTTAAGCAGCCCACACTGGCCCCTACGTTCCAAGTGCTGGGATAACTGTGAGCTATGGGAAGGGGAGTGTGGAAAGGGGGTAGGAGGGAGAAATTGGGGGTACAAGATACATGTGTACAAGATGCATGGTACACATGCATAAACTTGTCAAAGAATTTTAAAAAAGATATTTTGTAAAAACCCAGTCTGCTGCCACCACGGTGGTGGGAAGATTTCATTAGCATATTTCTCACTGTTAAGAGTCACAGAAAAGGTACATTTTGACAGCAGAGGAAGAAAACCAACAAAGGCAGGGCAGGAGAGATGGCTCAGGGGTTAAGAGCACTGGCTGCTCTTGCAGAAGATCTGGGTATGGTTTCTAGCATCCACATGGCAGCTAACAACCATCTGTAACTTCAGCTCCAGGGGATCCGACACCCTCTTCTGACCTCTGCCCACACTGCACGGCACAGGTTCACTTATACACATGCTGGCAATACACTCACACACATAAAATAAAAATGTTTAAAAATCATCAAAGGCTCCTAACTCCCACGAGGGCAAGAGGCTGAAAAATGCTGCTCCAGGGTCCAGGCCGTGTCCTTCCAACCAGATGTGCATTATCTCGGAGGTCTTGGTGCATGTGCTGATGAATAAAAATAATACCATCCCACTAGCTAGTTGTAAGCAAATACTGGGCTGTAGGTATAGTCTAGCATAGAGTAATGAACATACTAACTCATTCTTGTGCCTGAGCAGTGCAAGTTCTTTGGGACAAAATGGAGCAAACCTTTGACTTCACTTACTTCACAAGTTAATAGTCATGGCTGTTTTGTTTGTCTTAGACTGGGTCTTTGCTATGAGGTACAGAATAATCTCCAACTTGACCATTGCCTTTTTCTGCAGTTCCACTAAACAGAACACTTTATTCATTGACCGTGGCTCTGGTGATGAAACCCAGGGCCTCACACATGCTGACCAAGAGCTGGACCACCAAGCTACACTCACAACCTCCACTCAATTTTATTTTAAAACTCTCTGGTCTGATCACAATATTTTCATTTTATTTCCATATTAGGAGAAAACGTCCTCATTGTCACTTCCGAAGGAAACATTTTCTTTGAGGAAGAAAACACGTTATTAGTACCTGTATTAGTCAGGGTTCTCTAAAGAAACAGAACCGGTAGAATGAATATATATATATGCATAGAGATTTATCAGCTTAGCTCACAGGATAGAGGCCGAGTAGTCCAACAATGGCTGCACCATACCGGAGAGGCTGAGAATTCGTAGTTGCTCAGTCCACGAGGCTGGATGTCTCAGTGTTCCCAATCTGGCACTGAAGGTCTGACAAATTCCAAAAGATCAGCTGGTCTTCAGTCTACAGCAGCAAGAGGAACTCACCAGTGAGAGAGAAGGCAAGCAGCAAAGAAACCTGGCGTTCTCCTCTGCCTTGGTCTTTTATACCAGCTGCCATCAGAAGGTAACGCCCACATTTAGGGTGTGTCTTCCAGCTTCAGATGATCCAATCAAGATCTCTTTCATTTCAGTTAATCCCAGATCTAATCAAGTTGACACTCAGGATTAGCCATCACAGTACTCCAAGAACTTAACTCTGAAAAAAAAAAAAAAAGGAAGTGGTGGGGAAATTGCCAAATCCCCCAAAACTTCACGTTTATGAAATGGGACATTTTTCCAGAAGTTGAAACCTGATGGCAGTTTTGAAACTTTTCCCACCTCACTGTGGTCCACTTTTCTTCTCACTGGCTCCTCTTTGCTTAGTCGGCTCGGAAATAAATACCAGAGGTGGTGGCTGACAGGAAACATTTAACAGACTCCCAAGCCGCTGTGGGAGCGAAAGCCAGAAGGATGAATGCAGGAAGGCTTCGACTCTACGGCCTTCCCGCCTAAACGGAGAGGGGCGGGGCCAAGATGTGGGCGGGGTCCGTGGACAGGACGGACTGGGGCCAGAGGCCAGAGCGTAGCCCGCGGGGTGGGCGGAGTCTAAAGCCTGGGCGGGGCCTGGCATGGGCGGGGCCGGAGGGCCCGGCCGAATACTCCCGGTTCTCTCTTCACTCTTTTTGCAGTTCCCCACAGCCAAGCGCTTCGCCCTATCCCGTCATACCCTGCGGCTACGGTAGTCACGTGATAGTGGGCGTTGACCGCTGAGGCTTGTCTGGGCGGATTCTGCGTCTCTATGGTTGGCAGAGGTGGACGGCTTTCACCGAGTTGCAGCTAAAGCTGGAGCGCGGACGGGTGAGTGTGAGCACTTTGAAGAGAGCTGTTTGGGGAAGGGGAAGCGGGTCCGTCTAGGGATCCGGGCTCCGGGACCAGCCGTTCGTCCGGCCGGGGAGCCTGCGACTTCCCAGGTCCGAGGGGTGGCTGTTTCGGTGATGGGCTCAGCTCGGGGTGCTGAGAGGACTCGTCCTGCCGCCGCGGTCCTCCGTTCGCCCCATCCTTTCTCCCTGTCCCGGGAGAACTTCTCCGAGTGCTGGGTTCTCCGGTCCAGGGTGCTCTGGGCGCCCAGGTCCCTGTTCACACCCGCGACTGTTGACTGCTCTGTTGGAATTTGCGATGTGTTGGAAGTGGATGGGGGAACGTAGGGCTGATCTGCGGTAGAAATGTGTATTAATTACTGGATCGAAACTCGGGGGAAATCACTGGCTCCCTAAGGGAATAAAACAAAGCGCAGACTTCCAGAACTGTCCGGTTTTTACCTTCACCTGCGCTCATCTCATCGGCTACCTACACGATGTTTTGAAAATGAGCCGGGGATTCTTGACTACACATAAATGTCGGGAGAAGAGTTTCAGATAGTGCTTTGTAGCAAGTTGTCATCTTTGTAAATCTTAGGGTTTATCGTTAAAAATGTGCAGGTGTTGTACATACAAATAGAATAAACATTTTATAGCCAAGAGCAAGTAAAACATTTTATTCTCCCCAGGATGCTTTGGAAAGACCCATCATCTTTCTTCCTCTTTGTTTATAAATGGATTTCTATACCACTTTGAGGGATGATTTCTTTGATATACGTAGGTTTTTATGTCAAAACATCTGGGTTGGGTCAGATGTGGAAGTGATTTAGCAACATTAGGAGTTTGGGATTGACAGCCATTGAGGAGCTTAGGTTTCACAGTGACAGAGTAATAAAATGTAAAATCTTGAGACAAAAAATGTTGGCCAGCAATGCCTGCTGCCTACTACTGGTTTTCTGGTGTGGACCCTGTGATGAGCTGGCTGATCTTTTACTTGTCTTAAACATTTAGAACCTAATGCCACTTGGTCTGTGAGAAGGTAACCCTGACCTCTATCTACTCTGTTTTGTTTAGATTACTTTTGTGTTAATGTTTTGTTTTCTGAGACACGTTCTTACCTAATTCTCAGCCTTAAAGTCTGGATTCCTCTGCCTCAGCTTACTTTGAATGCTGGGATTCAAGGCCTGTGATACCTGGTAGGCTCTCCATCTGCTCTGTCTTCACTCAGGATAAATTTCTAATCATCTGTTCCACTTAAAGCCATCACTCAGGTTACCTACTGCTACCAAGAAAGTGTTATTGACAGAGGGTCATAAAATAGTCATAAAATACAAAATAATATTAACGAAAAGCTGAAGATTCAGGAATAGCTTATGTGCCTGGGAAGTGATACAAACAAATCCGAGCTGGTAAAAGCAAGAGGATCAATACCTTTATTGTCTTTCTATATTCTCTATGAAATATTTACTATATTTGGTAAATTATTTGTTTATTTACTTATTTACTTGTTTATTTATTTAGACAGTGTCTCACTGTGTTGCCCAAGCTAGACTTGAATTCCTGGGCACAAGCTCCTCCTGAGCAGCTGAAACCGCAAGCAGGCACCACAGTGCTCAGCTTTATTCAGTAGACTTCTTGTTCTCAAAAGATCTGGTCTAAGACTTACTTGCTTATATTTAAGAAAAAGGTAGTGATACATAATTTCTCCCATAGTTGAATAATATGTGAAATAATTTGTAACTGATGTATTTAACTGAGCAACTGCTTCAGACCTTTTCATCATTTAGAAGTATAGGACTAGCCAGGCTTGGTGGTGCACGCCTTTAATCCCAGCACTTGGGAGGCAGAGGCAGGCGGATCTTTGTGAGTTCAAGGCCAGCCTGGTCTACATAGTGAGTTCCAGGACAGCTGGGGCTACAGGGAGACCCTGTCTCAAAAAGAAAAAAAAAAGAATTATAGGACTAATGTAATTAATGAAGCCACCCCTTACACACACACACACACACACACACACACACACACACACACACAGTTCACAAATGAAGAACCCCCCACCTGCTACTTGCTATATAGCCTAAGCTGGCTTCAAGCCTTTGACAGTCTTCCACCTAATCTTCCTGAGCTCTGGAATTACAGCCATATGCTACCATCTAGCCAATAAAGACTTTCTTAAACATAATTTTTCCACTTTTAAACTTTGAAGTTAGTTTTACCCCTTGAACAGTTTTTACAGTGGCTGCAGCACTTGCTAAATATTAATTACTTTACCCACAGTTGTTTAATGTCTCCTTTTTTATATAACTTTAAAAAATATATTTTATTTATTTGTTTTATTTTATGTGTATGTGTGTATTGCCTGCGTGTAGGTAAGTGCACCCGAGTAGTGCAATGCCCGCAGAAGACAGAAGAGGCTGTCGGGTGCCCTGGAACTGCAGTTACGGATAGCTGTTAGCTGCCATGTGGGTGTTGGGATTTGAACCCGGGTCTTCTGCAAGAACAGTGTTCTTAACTGTTGACCCATCTCTCCAGCCCCATATATAACTTTTTTAAAAAGGTTTACCACAACTTTTTCCCCTCTTGTCAGAATAAAAATAGCTTCCTTTAGGGCCAAAGGAAAAAGTGATTCTTTTTAGATTGATGTGTTCTGTTTGCTTTGGTAAATCATGAGAAAGTTTTTAATGCTTTTAAAACATTAAATATTAATATCTGGGCATATTTGAGATGAAAACACGGGAACTGTGTCTTTAAGTGTTTTCTGTTTCTTATAAAAACAGTGTGCTTATTTTTGAAAAATGGAATCAGTCAAAAAAATACTGTAAGTCACAACTGTAATTTACCTTTCCCTTGCCAGCAAAGAACCATAATTCCCTTTACCTCTTTGGGAATAAGTTTGGGAAAGTAGTTGAAACGTCGGCATGATACTCCTTTGGAATTTGGTAGCAGTAGGTTTATATCCTACAACCCTAGAAACCCCAGAAGAAAAGAACTTGCCTTTCTACTATTCTGCTTTTTTTTGCTTGCTATAAGCAGGGTCTTTGAAACCAAAGCAAGCACAGGACTCTTCTGACAATTAGAGGTATTTATGTCCAAGATGAAATAGAATTTTACTTGGGCAAGAGATGTGGTTATGTGTATAAAGCAAAAGCTAACCCAGTAAATCCTGGTGGGACATCAATCAAACCTAGAGTAATCTGGGGAAGGTAATTGGACCCATGGATGCAGTGACATGGTTCGTGGGTTAGGACATACTAAAAGGTTATTGCTAATTTGAATTTGTGATCATTGTTTTACACTATTATAGGACAATATTAAAGAGATATTTAAGGGCAAAGTGTTCTGATGGATGTAACTTACTTTGAAAAGAGGAACTTGATAACTGGGCATGATGGTACACACTAGAATCTCAGCACTGGTGGTATCACCATAAAAACTCCAAACAAACTCAGCCTGTTGAGAAATAGGTAAGACACACATAACATCTAGGTCATGCATATAACAGTGTTCTTAATAACATTCTTTGAGATTTCTGTTTCTCAATAAATTAAGAAGATTTGGTGCTAATTTCTGTAAAAATAGGCCATTTGAAAATTTCATCTTTTCTCTAATACAGTTATTTTATTGCTTTCCAATCACTGCAAATGAACTCAACTTTTTAAAAAAATTTTATTTATTATTTTTATTTTATGTGTATGCGTGTGTTGCCTGCATGTACGTAAGTGCACCCGTGTTGTGTAATGCCCTCAAAGGTCAGAAGAGACTGTCGGATCTCCTGGGTCTGAAGTTATGTACAGTTGTTAGCTGCCATGTGGGTTCTTGGATTCGAACCTATGTCTTCTGCAAGAACAACCAGTGGTCTTAACCGCTGAGCCATCTCTCCAGCCTCAAACTCAGCTTTTTAAACTGAAAAAAAAATTATTAATTATGATTGCACCTCTTGTCTCCTAGTAACATGAATGCTAAATTTGCTTTTATTTTTATAATTTGTTTTAATCATCAATATTGCTTGTTTCTTTACAGTTAATCTTGTGGGCTTTATATGCCAGATACTCTATCCTTAATTTTTTATTTGTATGTAGCTAGTCTCCAGCATTTGAAGCAGCAATTCGGCTGTCAAAGCCTTGGCCCGGCTCCCATTGCTCATTTAGCCTAGAGCTTTTAATTTCATGCAACAAAGAAAAATGCTGTTAATGTTAATAATTTCTTTCTTGACTGTATATTTTCCTTAGGCCCAGATTAAAGTCTGTGGTAAACTTCTAAGTACTATGTATTCTATATTAAGATTAATGAAGTATTATTTATTTCTTTATTTATTAAGATGGTAGATGGAGCCAGGCATGGTGGCGCACACCTTTAATCTCAGCACTACGGGAGGCAGAGGCAGGCGGATCTCTGTGAGTTCAAGGCCAGCCTGGTCTACATAGTGAGTTCCAGGACAGCTGGAGCTACAGGGAGACCCTGTCTTAAAAAGACCAAAAAAAAATAATACATTCTTGAGGCCGGGCGGGGTGGCGCACACCTGTAGTCTAAGCACTTGGGAGGCAGAGGCAGGTGGATTTCTGCGAGTTCAAGGCCAGCCTGGTCTACATAGTGAGTTCCAAGACAGCTGGGGCTATAGGAAGACCCTGTCTCAAAAAGACAAAAAGAAAAAAAAAAATAGATGGTAGATTCTTAAATGTTATTGTGAGAAATCTGAGATTCTCCTGTAAGAAATTAACTAAATGGCTAAATGAGCTGGAGAGATGGCTCAGTGGTTAAGAGCATTGACTGCTCTTACAGAGAACTTAGGTTCAGTTCCCAGCACCCAAATGGGAGGTAATAACCATCTGTAACTCCAGTTACAGGGCATCCAACACCCTCTTCTGGCCTCCTCAGGCATTGCATTACACGGTTTTACATACATGTAAGCAAAACACTTAGGCACATAAAATAAATTTTTTTTGGTCTTTTTAAGACAGAGTCTCCCTGTAGCCCCAGCTGGCCTAAACACGTTATGTAGACTAG